ATGTAATGGATTTTTGTACTTATAGCTTAATGTAAGCCAATGTGAATGTGTACAACGTTATATCCCGCACAAGTTGAATGGGATCCCTATTATGATTATGATATGAAGATGTGACTTTACAATGCTGATCTGCAAAATATTTGTTTTTTTGATATAAAAAGTGGGTCATGTGTGGATGTATATTTTTTTATTGTCATTCACAATGTATATGTTAGAAATGCGTTGTTTTTATAAATTGTGGTCCCACTTCAATCAATCTTGTGATTCCCTCAACAAAATTCCAAAAAAGCTTGCTTTGTGTTCTCGAACTTTCTTCCTAAACAGAAAAATCAATTTAAATTTATATGGAAAAAGGTCAAATACGTAAAACTCCACTCAAGGGAATATATTAAATCCACCTTACCAAAATTAATACGACTAATCGGTTCATAAGAAATCTCATGGGACTAAATGGATCATAGTTTCTCATGATGGGATTTATGGGCAAATTTTCCAATATTTATATGTTTAATTAAAAATGTTATTAACTAAGGTAATTTTATGATAATAAATTAGGGTGTTTAGTTTAATTTATGATTTAATTATATATATATATATATCTGTCTATTTATTTTAAAATTTATAAAAATTAAAAATTAGATTAAGATAATTTTATGGCAATAAATTAAGGTGTTTAGGTTAATCCTATGGTTGAATTTATGGTAATTTTATGTTTAATTTAAAATGTTATTAAATAAGAAATTGGGTTAAAAATTAAAAATTAGATTAAGGTAATTTTATGGTAATAAATTAGGATGTTTAGTTAACTATGATATTATTTGTAAATATGTGATTAAGATAGAAAATTATATATATTAGAGAAGAGAGATATAGAATATGCCATAGGGGTATTTAGATAATTTTTCTCTTACTTTTAATGGAGTTAACATTGCACTTTAGTCCAAAACCATAAGACGGTTCTTTGCCTATATTTGAACTACAAGGGGGGCAAAGTGCTTCAAGGAAAAACTACAAGTGAGTAAATTGACTTGTGCCCCAAAATTTATAATGTATGAGAGTGTTCCGGGAAGTACTTTCTCCATATAAAAAGAAATATGTGTTTATATGCATTTTTTCACTATTACATTTCTATTATTTAGTAGATAATATGAAAATTTTGTTATGTCTGTACACATTTTATTGAAGTTTGTTTGGATTATATTTAAACTGAAGAATTCTTGTAGTTTTTTTTTGGAATGCTTCTGTAGGTAGTTTCAATTTTTATTGAACTATATAGTTTAGATATTGTGATGAATTTTTTCAGCATGGAATCATGGAATTGAACCAAAACCGAACCGCTTTTGTGGTTTGGTATGGTTCAATTCCAAAGATTTAGTTTGGTTTCTAAACTGATGGCACTGTTGTAGTGACCAGTTTGTTTCTTGGTTTATGTCAGAGAATCGAGCCAAACCAATCCACAAACACCCCTAGTTTATGCATCTATTCACGATTGACAATTCTATGACAAGAACAATGTTAAAAAGATCAATGTCTTCACCCTTATTACCTGTATGTTATGTTTGGTTCATTGGAATGAGGTGGAATGGAATGATCATTCCATCAAAATGTCCAGTCTCTTGTTTGGTTCACTAAAAATTATGAAAAATGCATTAATGGAATCATCATTCACTATTGCAAGGGAATGGTCATTCCACAAGGATAAGGAGGCTAAGGAATGACTATTCCATTCCAATCTATCTTTATTCTAGTGAAACAAACATTACTTTAGGTTGATCCATCAGAGCTACATAAAAAAGACTCAAAACTAGGACTTAATGTATGACATAATGGAAGCAGTTAAAGAGCTTACAGGCATTTTAGGCATTATTAGTTTTAAGTAACATGTGTAACCTTGGAAGATATATGACCTTTGTTTCACCTTTCATCTATTTTAAAGATTGTGAGTAAAACAATATTCAAACATATTGATATATGACCTTTGTTTCACCTTTCGTCTATTTTAAAGATTGTGAGTGGTTTTATGCATCTATTCACGATTGATAATTCTATAAAAAAACAATATTCAAACATATTTTATCTCAATATTAAAACACAAGTTAGAATTGCGTATGTACATGCTACATCAAGAAAATCAAAAACATAGTCCTCGTATATCATGTCATCATCTTCCCTCCCCAAAATCTCTGCCAAAGTTCCTTTTTTTTTTTTACTTTCTTTTTTCTTTTGTCACCTCCTCTTTGGATTTCCCATATTCATTGTTTCAATCTTGATTCCATGATGAACTGCTAACGTTATTTGTCTCATCCACAAGGCAATCTTCCCACCTACTATTCTATTCATTTCTTATATTCTCCTAAGCTTCCCTTTAATTTTGTAGTTGTTTAACACTCGTCTTCCAAGCTTCAAACTTCTTATCTTCAAACAACTCCCCATAAGTCAAGCTATCATTTTCCTCAACCTCAAGCATACCCTCATCCATCAACCAAGCCAATTGCCATCACTGTTAAGGCCAAGGTCTAATGACAAGAAGCACAGCCAAGGCCACCATGTCCAAGGGTCAAGGAAACCATGGCAGAGGTCACCATAAGGAAACCAAGTACAAGGTGAAATGCAAGCCAAGGGTAGCAAAGCTAAGCTACACTTAGCTACAAGACCACTAAGGCAATGCAACTTCAAGGTGAGGAGGCAAGGCAAGGCAAGTCAAAGTATACAAATTAACCTTTAGTGTTGGTGCAATTAAACATCAAATTAATGTCCAACCATCAAAACCAATCACAAGGTTTCACAACCATTACCAAATTAACCTTTGGTATTACAAGGTTTCACAATCATCATAAAATTCAACAATTGGCCTTAGCTTAAATTGAATAAGCTAAGGCCAAGGTCATACCATGGCCAAGGGACAAAGGCCACACGAGTCCACTAAGGCATCACCAACTTATGACTCTGAAAGGCTTGTTGCAATGCAAGGATGGACTTCTAACTCTTTAGACACAATATATTGGCATAAGTGTTATTGGTTATTATTGGTTTTCTTCTATGAACATTAGTATATTGGATAACCACAAAGTGTCTAAAAGAATTAGACACCTATCTTAATGTGATAGTGCTTTTGAAGAGCTCCAAGTTGTAAGAACTGTGACAGATAATGATAAATCTCCAACAACAAATTTGTCAATGGATGCTAATAACATGAAAAATGGTGTACGCCAAAGTCAATTCTACAACACTATTCAAGGGAGGACAAGGAAACAAAGCAAATGCCAAGGCAATCTAAGGCCTAACAACAACAAACGAAGCCATCTAAGGTCCAAGGGCACATGAAACCAATGCCAAGACCACCATGGCCAAAGGATGGAATTTAAAACTAGAGAGAGAGAAGAGAGGGTAAAAACCAAAGAGGAGAGTCTTTTTTTTTGGTAGAAGGGCTTGAGAGATCACCAAATAGAGGCATACTTTATTCTCACTAAGAAGTCTTTGAACCAGAGAGGAGACGAGTGAAGAGATGAGGGGAGGTGGAAGAGGTGGGAGAGTGAGAGCAGCGAAGGGTTAACCGGTTACTCCAATTGCCCTTTTCCAACCATTTAACAAATCAATGGCCAAGGGCTCAAGATCAAATATTTGTAATTCAATAGTTTATAACTGGGCTGCATATTATAAGCAACCTTCAGAAGCGTGTGTACTCAAACATTACCCAAATAAGTATGATTACATTATCATCTACAAGAAAAGATAATTATATGCCTTGAAAAAAGGAAGGAATTAACCTTTTCATGGTTATTCTGTAAACTGAGAGGTTTACGGACAACCAATCACCTAATGCCACATCAATTTAATTGTGAAGTTAGCCATTGTTTTTCTAGCCACTACATACACTCTAGTGCATGTGATCAATTCCTCCATTACTCTCTGCCATATGTCATGGTTTCTACCTATTTTTCCTCTGTTCCAAACCACTGACCACCGCCACATCCCTCCCCTAGCCCCAGTCCCAACCACCGCCACATCCCTTCCCACTTTTGCCTGGCCTTACCACCACCACCACCACCACCTTCCTCTCATTTCTGTCTACCCGAAGCCCCACCACTGAATACTACTTCCTTCCCTCATTTTCTTTGTCGAACTTTGGTTGCCCATCGAACACCGTCACTTCCCTCCCTCCCACAACCCCAAACCCACCATCCAATCTCATCAAACTATGGATGAATCAACTATTTATCCAAACTAATTACTAGCTATTTCAATAACTTCTGGTTTCAATTTCCGTACCACTCTCTAATTTTGTGGTGGCAATTCAGCAGATGTCGGATGAGAGAGAGAGGAAACAGAGAAAGGGGGATCGGTTTGGTGGCTTCGGGAAGAGAAGTGAGTATTTTTGTTGGATTCCACTGGTTACGTGGCACACAGTAGTCGGTTCACTGTAAACTCATAAATTTATGACTGCCATAAAAAAGTTAAATCTCATAAAAGAAATGAAAAAAGAACAAGGTGTCCTTTCAACCCCAACAATACTACGCACGTGTAAATATATGGAACAGATTTATTGTCATAGTAACCAAGATTAAATCTACATCATTTTCAGTTTTTGGGTATTTTTTGGGGAACTTCTCAGGTTACATAGTTTTCCCAAATTAATTGTATAGTCCAACTTGAATAAAATACAAATCAGAGACGTAATAAATTCATTGGTACCGAAAATAAAAACCCACAAATAACCAACTCAATTTCAATTAGTCAGAGACTAAATGATTCCAGAACATACCAATTAGGCAAAAATACAAAATTTATGAATCCTAAAATTAACAGTATCAGTTATCAATCGAATGGAGAAAAATTCTAGTTCGTGGTAAGGTTGATAGACGGAAACACAGTTTCAATGGACAATCATGAGAAGAAATAGGCATTATTAGAAATGATTTAGAAACAAATGACTCTTCAGATAATACAAAATGGAATTGAAGTTGTACAAGAGCAAAGAGATCAAAGAATTGAACACTTACAGGAAATGAATTTCCCAGAGTAATCTGATCACAGGAAGTGTCTTTTTCTGCAATCTCCATCTGGGTCTGCAACAATTCAGAATGCAAAGACCAGGGATTGTGATTCTCAGCTTGGTCAGAGAGACCCAGATTGTCAATCCCCTCGGTAACTTGCTCTGCGTCTGGTACACACATGGTGGGTGGTCTTTGCTTCAGTTTCTATGCAACTTGGAGAGAGAGAGAGAGAGAGAGAGAGAGAGAATATGAGAGAAAAATAACGGATAGTTGGAGAGAAGATTCTTAGGAATATATTAAAAATCCGTATTTAGAGAGATTAGGAGGCTCTCTCTGTTCTTGCAAGAAAACCACACGAAAGTGTGTCGTTTGTGTGCAGTGTGTTTTTAGAGAGAGAGACAGAGACAGAGAGAGAGGGGCCGTTAAGTTTCTAGTCTTCTAGATTCTTCTGTGAAAGCGTGGCTGTGCTTGCGGTGTGGATTGATGTGATGATATTTTTCCAAAAAAATAAAAAATCGGTTAATGGCTTTTTCTTTTAACAACAAAATCGGTTAATAATGGCTTCAAATGTTGTTTTGTTTCCCCAAAATATCTAAGGCTTCCTTTTGGCAATGGATTTTTTTGATAAATTAATCATAAAAGATAAAACAAATTGAATAATTAATAAAGGAAAATGTTAAATTTAAATTATAATTATTTTATTTTTTTATAAAAGTCAAAAAAATCAAATCAAATAAACTTTTAGTCCTAAGTTAAAATAATTAAAAAGTCAAAAAATCAACTAAAAAAAGTCTATTGTTAAATGACAACTAAATTGCTCCTTACTTGTTCTAAGAGAAGTTATTGATTAGTCTAGGGGCAGTGCCACATGACACTTTATATGTATTGTGATTGGTGAAGGAGATGTGACCCATGATTTTGTGTTGGATGATTGAAGAACATGAGAAGACATAATAATTTGTGATTGGTGAGGAGCATAACCACGTGAGGTTTATAATTTCATAATAAATAGTTTATTTTATCAATAAATCTGAAGTTAATTAATAATTTTTAATAATGTTATAAATATATTTTAATAAATAATTCAAGTAATTTTATTATTGTGTATGAGAACAGTTAAAAATTTTATTGTTTAGTTAATTTTGTTAAATAAAAAATTCTGACAATCGATTATTTGTAATTTTCAAATCATAGGAGCAATTTATATTTTAAGCAAATTTTATGGAGTCTACTAGTCTTTTAATGTCAAATTTCATACAAGCTAAATATAATCCACCCTAAAATAATAATTCCATACAAAGAGAGAATCATATAAAAACCATGTCCTTCGTACACAAAAAAGAAATATCCACTAGTAATCTATACCACGCCAATAGGAATACGTTTCATGCCAAAAGTAATCTCCACCTTGAATCTAAAGTCTTTGCATCTCCACCTCTCGTTGTGCTCCAACATTTGATCCATACTCGGAGGAAGAGAGTTTTGGGTTGACCCCAAATCCTCTTAAATATTCCTTCTTCCCAAGCACCTATCTTGATATTTCCTCGTGTCATCGATGTTCCATACTAGGAAGACTTATCCCATACCCTCACTTGATCTCCTTGTCATTGACAAATATAAACATACTAGTCAGATAAATTTACTAATGTCACGACCCAAACCCGCCCCTATAAATTTAGCATTGTAACCGGCCAGTAATCCTAAGATTACCGAAGGCCTCTGAAACAGATTAACAAAATAAGGACCTAGCGGAAACAAATACATAAATATAATTGTCCAATGAGCTGTGTTGACTTATATGAGACAAAATATTTAAAACTTTATACACATCCAAGGTCATTCTTACATTATACCCACACACATTATAGCATCTTAAATACGGCCAACAAAACAAACAAGTCTCATACACAGAAACAACCAGAACTTAAAACACGTGACACTTCCAGAACATCCACGTGAGGCACAATGGTTGGCTGACAACAGAACACAGATCCAGACAAAAGCCTTCAGGCTCAATCTCCAGAATGCCCACCTATACATATATATACACACAGTGAGTTAAAGCCCAATGAATAACATTAAGGTAAAGGAGTTAGTGAACGAATTCCGAACATTTCATAATCATAAAAACATATTATAACATAATCATTCTCATGGCTGAACATAATAATAGTACATCTAATAGAACATATCACATCGTCATCCGACTAGAGTAATCGGTTCCAGACACTGATTAAACACATATCACCACAATGAAGTGGCTAACGAGACCTTGTAATCACATATATGTCATGGACCCGCATTAACATGCCGTCCCCCGTGACTTGGGACTATCTATGGATGTCATAATAGATTTCAAAAATAAGACATTCGTTCACGTAAACAAATATTATTTCAAAAATCATAACTTATGAAATCACATTTGGAACATAATTCATATGAACATATCTTTACAATAACATTACTCATAGTGGGCTCTCGTGAACGGTCAATCAATCTTCGAGTCTTGACCTACAACCATAAAGTACATAACACAAACATATCTTATCACTATACATGTACTTGGCCATTACGGCTTAGTTATCTTTACATAGGTTTCTTGTTCTTGCTTAATGCATTGCTCAAAATACACACTTGTAATCTCTTAACTTAGTACATTCCTTTCTTAATGTGTCTTTAATTCATATCCTCATTACTATGGCTTAATTAAGACTTAGGAATGCCTAAAATGCAATGAGGATGCCAAAATATGAGTTGAAACACTTGGTCAAATTTCTAAAAACAGGGTCCCCGCTCGAGCGTAGCTTTTCTCGCTCGAACAGACATACAAAACGTGAGTGGTTGCTCGAGCAGTCTGCAAAGACATGAAACTTTTGGGAGCTTGCATTTCATGCTCGAGTGAACTTCTGGTCGCTCAAGCGGAAGTACAAGGTCATAGAGTGGTTGTTTGAGCGGAGAATCCGTCGCTCAAACGGGAAAGCAGAATCTGGGATTTCCAAATTACACTTCCAAGCTCAAAACTCGAATTCAACTCTCCAAAACTCAACTCTTGGGCACCAAAACTTGAGATAGCATTTGTAAACTTGCAAAATATGATGAATTAAGGATTATGGATTATTTCATGAAATCATGGCCTAATAGCTTGCCAATAGCTCAAAATTCATCTTGAAACATATGAAACAAAGCATGCATGTAAAACCTTTCAAACTCTTTTCTCGTATACAAACAAAACCATATATATACATGTTTCTATTTCACTTTCAACCATCTAAAAATTTGGTCTTTTAACGTCAAATTTTATACAAACTAAATCTAATCCAATCTAAAATTATAATTCCATACAAACAAAGAATCATACAAAAACCATGTCCTCCGTACACAAAAAAGAAATATCCACTAGTAATTTATACCACACCAATAGTAATATATTTCATGCCAAAAGCAATCTCCACCTCAGATCTAAAGTCTTTGCATCTCCACCTCTCATTGTGCTGCAGCGTTTGATCCATAATATGAGGAAGAGAGTTTTGGGCTAACCCCAAATCCTCTTAAATATCCCTTCTTCCCAAGCACCTATCTTGATATATTTCTCTTGCATCATCGGTGTTCCATACTAGGAAAACTCGTCCCACACCCTCGCATGAAAGCTCCTTGTCATTGACAAATATAAATATACTAGTGAGATAAATTTACAAAACACTCCAACAAAGATTCAAAGGCTTCTCAAAGTCATCATATAAAAGGAACACAACTCACCAGAAGAGCAATTTAAATATATGTTCCAAGGGGTTGACATTCTTGGTAAGAAATCATTGTGGAAACATTAAGTTGAGGTGGCATGTTAGTACACTATTGGAGCAACTAAATAAAATTTTATGGATGACATGCAAGTTCCAAAAAAAATTTAGATGAAAGTAAACTAACAAGAGTTTAGGATTTTTCTAATAAAAAACACATATATAACATAGAAAAATCAGGGAAACTATATGTATCCTCTAGATAAATTTAATCAATATTCAAAAACTGAACAACCAATTAAACAAAAGTTAGGAGTTGAAGGCACCTTCATAGATTTATACATAGAAAGGTAAGGTATTGCACTAAAAAGAACAAAAGAATTTCTTGTTTATTTTTTTTCTAGCAACGTTAGAATAGATAGCTATACTATTAAAAAAAAATATGCATTCTAATTTGTCAAGCAGATGTTATTCCTAACTTTTATCCTAGAAATAGCCAAGTTATATAGTTCAAACATCAGTTATTTTAATACCAGTATGTCATTCATAGCAATGGGTTCATTCTTTCCAACTTTCCTAACAAAATATTATTGGTAAAACCTTACTGTCACTGTCACGCCCCACATTTTATTACTCGGAATCCATTACCAATACATTAAATTTATTCAATTTCAGAGATAACATGCAGAAACTCTTTACATCATTTGTAAGAATAAATAAAGATTCTCTCATCCGAAAATGCAACATGTACATAACTAAATAAATTGTCCGTGGGCTTACATCTTTAACAGTAAAAGAAAGAGGGTTTAACCCTTTTACATCAATGGCATTCCGCCTACAAATAAAGGCCCCGTGGCCAACAGGTAAAGAAGATCCTCAATCTTGAAACACTTCTCGATATTCACCTGAAAAAGGATTAGCAACGTGGGACGAACATAAAGTTCAGTAGGGATCTCAACCTGATCCTAAACAATAGCAACTTATAGATAGCTATGATCATGAATGCTTAGTCTCATACTGTATAAATAATGTGACGGTTTATACGGAAATATATGTATATAAGAACTTTTCTCAAAGTCGTTCATTTCATTCCATAACATAAGCGATTCACCTTTCTTTCTTCCTATTACCTTTTTCCAAAATTCACATGACTATAACAAATTTTTTGAAGAAAAACAATTTTACCAACCTATCATGTTTTCTCTCACTTTCCAGTCTTACACCTGATTTTCCTTTTCAAAACATGTTCACAAGTATTCAAAGTCTTTCACGTTTTTCACAATCTCAACACAATACTTACGTCCGTTTCCAACACATTCATAACTATACAAATATGCCTTTAATACAAAAGGAAAACAACAAGCAATCAATAACTATTTGCTTCAACAATTGAGGCAATACGGCCTTCCAGAACAATAACCATCATAACCCATGATATACCTAGATACACTGAGACAATAATGATAAATGAATTTTGCTATACCTACCTTAAGCACGATAAGCCAAGGATACACCTCTGCCAAGTTCTCCAGGCGCTAGCTGGAAGGTACTGATACCTCTCATTCTAAGTGCTGCCAAGTTCTCCAGGCGCTAGCTGGAAGGTACTGGTACCTCTCATTCGAAGCGCAAGCACATTCCCAACCATCTCAACATACTATAATGCATAATAACACAAGTGTAAT